CCCAGATTAATCCATTGGTGTCATGTTAAAAGGGTTAGTGCAAAATACACGCGGAAACAGGGTACACCTGCTTAGAGGAAGGAGGAGTATTAATCAACGGAGAAAAAAAAGTGCAGATCGCTTTAATTAAGCTAATGAACACAGTCAATCCGAGTGCTCTTTTCCTCAAAAATTAAAAAGACTGCAATCCAAACAAACCCCAGGATCGTACATTTTAATTTAGAAGTCAGTGGCACTCACAGTTTGGTAACTTATCTTCCACTCCAGCGCCCGAGCACACATCTCAAACGTTTCACTGTCCAGTCGTGCCGTCCGTCTGGCCCGCGGCGCCACGGCCAGCACACAATCCTTTGGCAGCTGAAGGCAACAGAAGATGTTTGGCCACGTGAGCAACCAGCTACGAGACAGAGTTAATACCTTATCGTTTCCTAAACTAGCAAGTCGAGGTTATAACAACCCATTGCCACACAACACCCAACACTCTCATTAAGTTCCACTAGTGTTAAATTCATAAAAAGCAATAAAAAGTCATCCTCGCTTTTAAGTAAACATCGAGCCAGCTGCATTTTGGGTTTTTTTTTTCCTGGTAGCTTACACTTCCAAGCACACTTGTCCAAGAATTTGCTTTCTCCCCAGTACAAGTTTCCTAAATAACTGCCATCCGACCTCTGCTGTCCCATTCCAGAGCAGCCGTGGCTACTGTTCACTCCAGAGGGAAGCCGACAGCCAAAGCTACAAGTAATTCCATTCTTTTTCCTCCTCCTCAATAATAAAAAAAAGCCTGACGAGTCCATGTGGACGGCAGTGAGTCTCCTACAACCACAACGCCTGATCACAGCACATTTATAGCTATGAAATCAGGCCCAACACAAACAAACTGGCTGGATGAGGATCTGTGATGCTTCTGGTTTCCAGCTGGCCGAACCCGGGTGTTTTGACAACACCGAAAGCGTGACCAAAGAGCACAACACAGCCCCAGCACGTAAGCCAGTTGCTTGCCTATTGCTCCTGAGCTAGAATTAAACCCTAGGTCTTGCTGTGGCTACTGGGGCAATACTCATCTGCAACCTAATTGCAAGCACGTCGTTTATTCCAAAAGGTTTCTGCCAAGAAAGTATTTCTATCCCTGACAAGTTGCTTTCCATCTTCTCCGGCACTTTCCACCCATCTGGGATAAAGAAGCAAAGCCACTTGTCCCCAAGATTTTCTACGGAGTGAACAGGATGAGGACACGTCAGCACCAGAAATTTACCACCATCTGCAAGACACCGGCACGCTTCATCCCTGTCAACAGCTCACAGAAATAGCCCACCAAGCTGGACAACTAGGGTTTGGGACAGAAGCAGGGTAGGTACCAAGACATACCATGCAGGGGAGTGGTGCCACCTGTACCAAACTGGAACAAGTACAGCAAAAGGCTGTACCATCAGCACGGGTACCACCAGGGAGGGCAGGACCACAGCTGTGGCTGCATCCCCCTCCCTGGTCACAGACAATGCTCAGATCCAAACCACCAGCCTCTATGTCCCTGTTGGGTCCCATCTCCCAAAGCTTTCAGAGCCGCACCTTGGAACTCCTCATCGTGTTATCCTGCTTTTCTCCACAAGCACTGATGAAGGAACCAGCAAAGGCACAGGAGCACCCCCAGCATTTATGCCAGTCTCTCCAAATTCACCATCTTGACAGCTTTCCTCACCCGGAGCCAAATCAGAGGGGATTTTCTTCCAAAATGCCACAAAAGACTGCCAGGCTTGGAGGAGCAGAAGGTGAGAAGAGAAGGCAGAGGAGGAGTATTAATACAAAATTTGCTGTTTTCACTGCCTTTGCCCTAGCCAGAATAAAGCCACGGTGTATCAGCACGTTTTGCCTTTAATCAGGACTGGCACATTGTGACATTTTGAGGCCAATCAGGTGCACTATAAATAAAAAGATGCTACTACAGGGGCAAAGCTCCTGCAGGGCATCGAGCCTCTGCAAAGCCCTTCTCTCCAGCCAGCCAAGCAGGTCTTGCCCTCAGGAGGGAGACCTTTAACACTGCCACTGAAAAGGTTCAGAAGGGACAAGCTACAAGCAGAAGAACCATCTTAGCAGCTGCACAACCTGTGCCAACAGCCAACCAACAGGTCCTCGCCCAGGTGACGGAGCAGACCTGTGTCCAGCATCAAGCAAAACACTCCTGCCAACCGCTACCCATGGGTTTGCACTCCCCAACAGGCTCCTGGTATCAAGAGGATTCAAGCTGCAGGTAGCAAATACTAAAAGCATTTTAGGCCCCAGTGGAACATGCCTACACCACCTTCGCACACTCAGCCAACCCAACACAGCATGTTCCAGGGAGGAGACTGGCCACAGTCAGCGTCTCTACTGAGGAGACAGTGACTTGGGTCTCAGCCCAAGTGCTTGCAGTGCATTCAATACAGTCTGGACTTTGAATCTTCCTTTAAAAGCAAAAAGCAAAGTCAGCTACGTAAAACTTCTGGATTATTTTTTTTTTTCCAGGGAGACTGAAGGAAGGAGGAACCCACAATCAGAGCTACGGATTCATTTGCAGCTGGAGCAGAGTTGGTTTTCGGGACAAGTTATGGAAACAACTGCCCAAGGGACCTCTCTCATCCCTTCAGGCTGTTAGGGAGAATAGAAAGCAGCCAACAGACTGCCTGCACCAGCCTGACAGCAAGCTCCAAGATAAACTGGCCACCCAGATGCCAAACAGACTCCTTACGTCTTTAGGTATCCCGGAAATCTGCATCACCAAGCTGGAAACCTCTGTCTGCAAGATTAAGCACATGCTCTCCCCTCCTGCACACAGCTCAGCAGCTGCAGAAAAAAGGCAGCATAAGGCAGCAAAAGGCCAAAATGCCCAATTTTAGCTTCAGCTCCCCCCTACGCCCGCACACCACAGCTCAGAGAACTGCCACCCATCCCCTCGCCCAGCCCTGGGTGATGGGGGGAGATGTGAGACAACTCTTCCCTCTGCTGATGCCGACAGGAACACCTCCACCAGGCTGCTCAGAAACAACCTACTTTTTATAGCTTATTCACTGCAACAGTAATAGCACTTCAGATCCTCACCTCTAACACTGAGGCAGGTTTTCCGCTACTGACAAAGCAGTAGGAACCAAAGAAAAAAAAGTGCCCCAAATCACCTTCAAATTCCCAGAGGTTTGTGAAACTATATCCAAAGAGACAGGAATTAATCCTGTGAGTGACGTGACCTTCTGCTCAAAGTCTCTGCTGGAGACTCGGTTCTCACACAGCTTGAGGGAACACTCAAGAGCCAGAAATGGCAAAAAGCCCTTGTGAGAGTGAAAATAAAAGCTGCTCGCAGGCAGGGAAACTAGGCAGCGACTGAAACTTCTCCTCTGAAGGGGCCTGAATCCTCCCACCACAACACACACACACACAGACACGCTTACAAACCAAAACCTGCAGAAGATGTAAAGGCAGAGTTTTGTTAGACACTGGAAGAGAAGAAACCTGGAGTTTATCATCACAGCCAGAGAGTAACCGACATAAAAGATGCATTTTGCCTGTAACCAAGAGCTTCCTTACAAACAGCTCTCTCCTCTCCGTGCAAGGATCCCTATCATCTCTTCCTACACAGGATTAACACGTGCTGATTCAAATGCTGATGGTTTATAGCACAATTCAGTCTGTAGATTAGCACTGAATAGGATTTTCCTGCATAGGAGAGTCTATGGGGAATCTGCTTTCTCGCCTGCAGCCCAAACGTCCCAGTAGAGCTCAGATCTGCCACACAGAACGCAGGTATCATGGAAAGAAATTAATCCCAGGAGCTTTCTGGGCAAGCAGCAATCATCTGGGATGAAACAAGCGTGACAAGAAAGGGAACAGAAGGGTCCTGTGAGTGGAGCAGCAGCACCCGCCTGTCAGCACCAACCATAAAAGGCGCCAGAACAAGCCACAGCAATATTAGAAGAATCCCTCGCCACTCCTTCAGATGGCACAGGGCAACCTGATACAATGACACATAACTGGGGTCACATCAGTACCGGAAGAATCCCTCGCCACTCCTTCAGACTGCACAGGGCAACCTGATACAAGAATGACACATAACTGGGGTCACATCAGTACCAGGGACACACAGCACCTTCTGCTGCCCATCACAGACAGGAGTCAGCAGGCTGCATTTGAGCTTATTTCACAGTTAGTTTTCTTTTTTCTCCCTCCTTTACATTTTCAGCCCCACTTTAAAGATCCAAGGTGAACCTTTCAGCTACAAAACCAGTTCTGAATGCACCAGCTTCTGCAGTTTATGCTCATTTCCAGTTCCACACCCAGCTCCTATAAGAAAAAAGGAATGACCTCCTCTACACTCAAGGAGACACCCAGACCTGGAGCCCCAGGGACAGCACATCCACCAAGCTTCAGAAGCCAGAGCAACACCACGCACACTGTCATTTACAGTGGGGAATCCTCCCCTTGCTGCCAAGCTGAGGGAATTTCTCAAAAGGAAACCACCCACTCCAATTACTAAGCCAAGGATGCAGGTATTACACCAGTCTCTCTTGATGAAGCTGCACCCAGAGAAAGGTTTCTGGAGAGGAGGACGTGCTCGGTCACTGCTGACACAATTTATCACTAAGCAGCCAGCCAGTCTGCGGGGGGGGGACCACACAGGTTTCCAGGAGGGTAAAACAAGTCTCCCAGGAGGACAGATGAGCATACAGCACAGCAAAGGCTTAAATGAGTCCCTTCCATGAAGAAGAGCTCTCTCCTCGGGAGGCTGCTAATGGTCAGAGCAGAGAGCTTGTGTCCATCCAGTCACTTAGATGTTCTTCTGATCCAGCTCTGACCTCAAGTCATTTCCGTTCCAACACATTCTTTTTGCAATAAGAAATGTCTATTTCCTCCTCTGCAGGATCCCTTCAGCTATACAAAGCTATGTTACAGTCTGGGTCACAAGGACTGCTAGGGAGCAGTGTAGGGTGGCAGGGGAGGAAAGGGCAGTCATGGGTATTTTAACCGGGATGTGTACATTTGGGGTAAAAAGGCTTTATTAAAAGTGCATGCTTTTTTTTCAGAGGTACCGAGAGCAAGGAATCCCCATCCCAGCCCTGGCTGGGGAGTGCAGCAGCCTTTGCAACCCCTAGCCCTGTCCATCACAAGTCACCCATCAAGTAGCCAGCGACTGAATGTTCTTCAGCATTTCATCAAAAGCCTCCCGGGAAGGCGCTTCGGCGTTCTGGAAGGAGACCTTGATGCGGCTGTAGAGACTGAAGGATTTCAGCTCCAGCCAGATGAATCCAAAGCGATCGTCATCGAAGAGAACAAAAACACCCGGCGTTCGCTCGGGGCTGGTGAAGCCATGGCCAGCAATAAGCCCCGTCCCATAAAAACTGCAGGGAGAGGAAAACAGAAAAAAAAAAAGAGGTGAGAATAGGCATAACCACCCAACATTTAATAAAATGAAATAAAAATAACCCAAACAAACAAACATGAAACTGTGATCAAGCCATTGTCAAACCCAGTGCCAGGTGCGACAGAACAGGGAGTTTTACATTCAGTCAGTTCTTATCACACAGCACAAACCACTGTTGATACCATTTTAAGAAAAGAAACTCTCCATTGCTATTTGGAGGTTGCTGCTTTTAGCTCTTCTAATTAGCACCTACACACCGAGGCTTAATTTCTGTGTAGTTCAGCCTAGTAATCCATCAGAGATTTACTGCTGCAACTCAAGGATCAACCCAGGCCCAGACAATCCTCACAGAAAAGAAAAGGCACGTTGAGAGGGTCGACCAGAGAGGCAAACCTTGCAACAAAACCCAGGGGAAGGGAAAGAAAGAAAAATCTAAAAAAAGAAAAACCTAACTGGAGCTGGGGAGGAGTAAAGGTCAGCCTAACCTCCAAGCAAGAAGCAGGTGGAGCAGGGTTTTATTCAAACACAACTGGGTTGTGACAGCAGGGGCCTTCTGGGATTAACCAGCTATTGGTAGGTTTTTCCATGAGCACAGATGTTTGGCTGAAGGTCACCTTCCTAAGCCTCAGCTTTTGGGCTCTTTTTCCACACTTCATTTAGTACACGCTGCTTTGCTGACTTCAGGTCCCATTCAACAAGGCTCTCTATGTACTTGCACCCAGTGCTCAGGCTGCTCAGCACCTTCCAGAGCTGGTCCCAAGGCATCAGAGGCCAAGGAGGGGTGGGAGAGAGCACTCTACTCCCACAGCCAAACAACACAAATGACACACACAGAAAAGGGAAGCGGCTTGGACAGATCTACAAATATATTTTGCTTGGCAGTTCTGGAAACAAAACACACACACAAAAAAAAGGAGGAGGTGTGGAATACAGGGTAGGTGCTAGCTTCAAAAGTAGCAGGATAAAATTTAGCAAGGAAGCGGGATGGCAGATGACAACGTGGTGAGAAAGAGAAGGAGCACACAACACCAAGAGAAGGAGCACACAACACCAAGAGAAGGAGCACACAACACCAAGAGAAGGAGCACACAACACCAAGAGAAGGAGCACACAACACCAAGGGAGATGGGGCAGCAGTGGCAGAAAATGTGAGCATGAGGGGCTGGGAGATCCACATGCAGGTAAAGGGCAACCAAATGCAGAACACACCTCAAAGACTTCCCCCCATTCCAGTTCAACAAGTGACTGGCACAATTACACTACAAAAGCACTAGTCCCAGTTACCAAATTCTGCAGGTCCGGGGGTAGTCTTCATTCCTCGATATGACTCCCATGGGCAGCACGAAAGGCTGGGAAGCTGGTGCCTTGCTCTGGGTTGTCCCCTCCGCCCCAGCTGCAGTCTCTTCCCCCTCAGCACCTTCTCCTCCCAGAGGCTTTGCAGCAGACTGAGAGGCAGCCTGCTGGGAGCGATCTTCTTCCTCCTGCCGCTGCTCCTCCTCCTGTTCCTCTCGACGTACCTGCTCCTGGACCTCCAGGACGATGCGAGAGAGCTCGCTGAAATCCCGAAGGTTCTCGATGTCGGGCAGCTGCAGAGGATGTGCCAGGTCAATCTCCACAGTCTGCTGCCCAGCTGGGATGTTGGGATCACCCTAGAGACAGGAAGCAACAGCATGGCTGCAGGGGCAGCACGCTACTGAGTTCAGTCCTGCATCCTCCCCACACCCATCATCTGACTTTGACATAATTCACCCCATTCTACAATCACCCTTGGACTCTGTTCATCGTTCCCTGATCTGTCTACATCACCTCTACTTTTCCCCTCCCAGAAACAGAATTTTAAATCGAAAGCTATGAGCCAGGCTGTACTTGCAAGGGTGAAAGAAAGTCAAAGCTGCAACTGCATTTTGTCAAAATCCCTGTCTGCAGAGAGGAAGGAGCTTGCCAGCCCGGCTTCAGTGAAGAGCTGCCAACATTTGGTACCTGCTCCCCAGATACATGCAAGTGATCTCCAGTGACCTGCTACCAGCTGCTCACAGAAAACAGCTGGAAGGGAGAGGAAAGGAAGGGGGAACAGGGTGGCATCATGAGAAACTTTGCAGAGCAGGTTCAAGCTGCCCTGCACATGTTAAGATTCACTCGATACCACCAATCCCCACGAGGAACAGGGTCTGGGGTGGCAACAACTGACTGCCTCCCAGACAGAGATGTCTCCTATGAATGCATAGCATCAAGAAGAGCATGCTCAACAAGCATCCAAGAGAAAGGAAAATGTACTCACGGTGATTTTAGTCCCCTTTGCTTTCCTTCCATGAAAGCTCAACATGACAATCTCCAGCCCATGGCTCCCATACGTTCCCTTGAAGAGACCTGGCTTTATAAGGTCATCAGGGCTGCTAGGAGGGAGGTAGATGCGTCGGTACGTCAAGCAGTTGCTGTGCAAAAAACCAAAAGGTTAGAGAGGTTAAGAGAATCCCTTGACATGAGGAACGTGTTTCCAGTCTGCTCCTCCAGGCAGCTTTGGGCTGTCATCGAGAGAGAGGTGGGATCTGTGTGTTCAGCAATACCAACGAGTTTAACAGATTCTGCTTTAGACCTATGGAAGCTCTCCCTCCCGCTGCTGCTCTCTACCCATCCTGGTTAGCAGACCAGGAGGCGCCTGCAGCAAGGTCACAGTAAACCTCCTCACTCCCTGGGACTGGCGGAGAACCTAAGAGTGAAGCATATTTAAACATGTGCTACAGCGAGGTGGCTGCTATTAGAAGTTTGGAGTGATAGTTAAAAAAAAAAAAACCCAAGTTCTCAGGGAGTGTGTGACTTCCCCCTAGCGCACTACAAAGCATATTGCTTACTAATACACATAAGCAGCCAGCTCCTTGGGATCACGGGTATTTGTTCTGTCTTCAAATTAAACACAGTTAAATGACTCAAAACCATCTTACTGCGTGTAGTTATTGTAAAGAACTTGGTACCTTATTATTACCACTGTCATTACATCTCAGTAAAACTGAAAGCGTTGTGCTTCACCGTATCTCTGCACAGAGCATGGAGAGAGAGAACATCCTTCTGGCTGCAAGCACCCCATCTTCACAAGAAATGACCCACTCTGCTCTTGAAGCTGCAGCAGTTTCAATACCTAGAAAGAGCTGGTGCCCTTACTCGTATTGGCTGGTGTAGATGAACTTCATCAAGATAAGCTCTTGCATGTGTTCATGGAAGATGTCTTCCAGAGTCCGACCCCACTCTTCCCTTAGCCATGTCCGGAATTCCTGCAGCACAAAGAGAAGAGAAAAGGGGGAAGATAAAGGCATTTCATCTGGGACAGTGACATACTCCAACATGACTTTGCCTCATAGCACAATTCCCCGGCAGAGTCAGAGCACACGCTCTGCCAAGGGTAGAGAATTGTGGCTGGATTTGGGAACAGGTACATGTTGCTACACAACTGGCTTGGAAATAATAACAGTAGTAATAACAGTAACTGCCCTATACCTGCCACACAATAAACAGGGCTCCCATTCAAGTAAATCACAGATAGAACCAATATGCCCCCCTCAGAACAAAAGCATAAGCATCACCTCTTACTACAAAGTAGATGATCTATTACTCCTTTACGTTGTGATTTACCTTAAAATAACTCATTTGTGTGCCCACAAGGTGACTCCTGTGCCCTATCCTGGCATGTTAAACATAAAAGGGGAAGCTTTTGAAAGGCACTGAAGATTTAGGAGGTTAAATCCTGCTGATTTAATACTGATGCATCTAAATCCAAAGAGCGCTTTGAAAACATCTCCTGAAGTACTTCTACACCAGCTCTGACAAGTTAATACCCTACCATGAGTTAGCATGATAACAGCTTACACTAAGATAGCAGCCTACCAAGTGATATTCCAAACCTGCTTGCTTTATCTTCTAAAGCCAGATCCTCCAATTACCATAATGCCACGCACACTTAACGCAGTGCTTTGCAAGTATTAAAGCATTTCTCATCTGCTACAGAACCAGAAAACACTTAACTAAACCTTTCACCCAGCTGTTCCCCATTAGTAGACAGACATTTTAAAGCATTTGTTAGAAGCAACTGAAGTCTTGAGATTTGTCACGTTTAACTAGCTGGCAGCAAACTACCTGGAACAGGTATTAGCTGAAGGGTTTCATCCTGACATTTATACCTGCACCTTAAAACACGTAGTTTGAGTGGGGAATCTGCCGTGCTGGGTTATAGCTGACACAGCCACGGGATAAACAACCTAATGAAGCTTTTAATCCCTCGACCAAGACGACAAGCAGTAGAGAGATGCCCCACTGACAAGCAGGTATTCAAATGCAGCTGGTACTCAACATTAGGCCTGTGTCTGAAAGATCTTAATTATACAGACAGCAACACCACAGAGATCAGTGTCCATGGAGTGAGTGCCGCATGGAGTACAAAGCATGTGGCTGGCTATCTTCAGACAGGTCTGCTATCAACCAGGAATGGTGTCACAGCATCTAGAGTTTGGATTCAAGTCACAGACCAATTCTACTCACTTAAAAAAATCATAGTAAATCAGCCAGAGGCTACCAGCCTGGGTTTTCATGTACACTCAGAAGACAGAAATTAGAAGACAGAAGACCAGCTCCCCAGCTCCAACATTAGCGAAGAGCTTAGCAGCTTTATCTCTAGAAAGGGGACAAACATCCAGCCCTAATCCATACTTTCAGCAAAGCACTCTTACCTCTTGTCTTCCCCCTGACATCCGATGGTGATCTGTCTGGTTGCATTTCGTGGAGAATTCATCCTTCTTTACAATCTGCAGTTACCATGGAGGAGAATTTAACAGATTATAGACCTGATTAGAGATGCCTCAGATGACATAACTAAGACTGCTTAGAGCAAATGCTTTACACAACAAGCCTTACTGAATTTGCTACAACAGGGAAAATATTAAGTGATACCAAGTACAACAGCTCCAGAATAGAAGAATATGAGCAATAAATAAAACCCAAATGCATTCTAATGAAAGACACTGGTTTTAAGTTGCTTCTCTCTTTGAGCTTCCTTCTTCAAAGAAAAGGAAACAACCTCTCAGGAAACTTTTCAAAGCATCCAAGGTATGCTGAATGGATGCTACATCACCTTGAGATCTCACCTTAGAGAGCTGTAAAACAGAGCAGGTCTGTGTGTCTGCTTGGACACATTCACCAGCTGCACAAGGCCATTTTGTGTGTCATTTCCCCCAGGCTGTACACATATTGGAGCTCCCACCCAAGAGAAGACAGTATAACAGCCCTGCTGTACTATTGCCAGGGAACAAATTCAGAGCAGGGAACAGCCCACACAACTTGTCAGACACATAATGAGCGTAAAGCTGGCATCCACACATACAAGTGGTGGTGTGGTGAAAGCCACATCCCTTAAATAGAAATCTCATACAGAGAAATGACAAAATTGTTGATCAATCCATTTCCAGAGCCAATGTGCACACACACACACACACTCCACACCTAGGACAGATGTTGAAAGTGCTAGAGGAGCTCACCTGGATGTGGCCATTATGAGGTCCCTTATGACCATACATACACTCAACCGTCGCACATTTCCTCTCCATGAGATGAATCCTGAAGAGAGGTTTGAATCTCATGGGATCATCGACATGAGGGTCATGAGGTGGCAAGTACATCCACCCAATGATGAACAAACCATCTACCTGCAGAGAGACAGGAGACAAAGACACAGGATCACCCTTCCACGCTTCCTGTTGAGTTTGCAGCAAGCTCCTCCGGGGCCTACTCTGCAACAGAGCAGAAGCTGTAGAAAAGCTTGCTGTGTTTCCAAACTGCTTTCCAGCAATTAAACCAGACCATATGCACTCATAGCACACCCTTGGTGAAGAGGGAGAGGGTTTCTTTACAAGGCTTTCTGCACCACTGGAAAACGATCAGGCCTTTATTACTGCAAACAACTTTGTGACGGATGCTTGGTGCGCAGGATCCAGAGGGAGAGACTGCACTGAAGAGACCACACAGCCAGTCAAACTCTAATTGGTTTGAGAGCTCACGCTGGCAGATACTAGAATAGACAAATTCTGCTTCTCGTGATTATCTGTGCCTTTTGGACAAGGAATTATTTGGCACTATTACTCACAGACAGCACAGGAAGCAACAATCTCCTCTGCTGGAGAGGTGCAAGTGCCAGCCCTCTTCCTGCATGCCTAACAGAATCCTTCCCCTCAAGCCCTGTAATTCCAGAGAAAGGATATTTTCTAAATAGAGAGATCTGAGACAAAAGCAGAGCAGCGCCACAGAGGCACACTTGTCTTTATAAGGTCACAACAGCATGTAAGTATTGGTGCACTTGGATGCACTCTTATACCAGTTCATGGAACAGAATCTTGCAAAACCCAAAGGCCTCATGATTTGTTACGCTTCAACCTGTCAGCTACTGAACCTTGGTGCAAAGAACAAGGACTTGGAGCAAACTTCTGGCCCAGCTCTCACCAACAGAGTCAAGTGTTGTCCATTAACTGCTCTCCCCAGCAGCACAAGGGCTGCCAGACTCCACAGGTCTTGCATCAGTCACGCACCAGCATCCCTACATCTGATGCATTAGCCTTGGACACAGCTAGGGAAAAGCACTGCAAGCTACAGGAAGGAGAGGTGCATGAACTCCAGTGCAAAACCCTTTGCAGGCCAAAATAAAACACTAAGCGATGGGCCAGTGCTGAAACCTCTGCTGTACACAATGCACAAGGAATGGACTCCTGCACCAGCCACTGGAATATACACAGTAAAATATAAATCAAGCCTTTCCTCGAAACATTGCTCATGTTTTCTGTGTAATCCTGTGGCTGTTTGGAGTACAGCTGAAAAACAAAAGGACTGTCTGGAGAAAGGCAATGAGGATAAAAAGATCCAAGAAACCGTGTCTCCACCACTTGTTTATGGGCTGTCTGTTCAGACTTCTCAATGGCCCAGAGATGACAACCAGGTCTAGAAAGGGGTATGCAAAAGACTCATCAGTCCTCGACACCACAGCCCCCAGAATGAGGTACTCACCACCACGTTCAGCAGCCCCCCATAGGGCCCGATGTCTGGCTGCCATAATCCCAGGATGTGTCGGTATCGGTGCAGCACTAGGGAACAGCAAAAGACTGAAGTGAGTACATCAAGCTAAGGAATTGGGAAAGAAAATAAAAGGAAGACTGCTACCCGGACTGCACACAACACTGACCAATACCACCCACAACTGCCTTTACTAAAGAATACTGGTTATATCCAAATACAGCCAGGTAGTTCTGAACTGAGGCCTCCCACAAGTTCATACAGATTTATGGGTTTCTCTGTAGCCCCGCTCCTGGCCCGGTACAGGAGCTATTTTCCAGGATTTTAAACAACCAGATACCTTGCCAAGAATTCTCAGAAAACTTTTGCAACACGGTCCTGTTGATGCAAATCATATGATATACCCAGAGCTAAAAACAAATACAGTATCTGCCATCTCCAGTTACCAAAAATGTACTTGATGCGTCAGACTGCAAAGCAACAAAAAAAAAAAAAGGAAGGGCACAAATGCAGTAAGGAACAGGAAAATGTGAATATTTTGAAATACTTTCCCCACCTTGTATAGACAAACTTGTCTCCAGTTAAGCACCCTTAAAAATAGCCACTGAGAGAGCACAGGCAAAGCGTACAGACCATGCCAGAGCAGAAGATCTGGTGACGTTACCAGGTCAGTAACAGCCTTAAAAATTCTATGTAAGCGGCTACACCTCAGCAGTGCCCAAAAGCTGCTTCCAGGTCCCTCTCAAACCCTACTGTAGCAGGTGAAGCTTCCCCATTTCTCATCTCAGACCTGGGTGCACTTTCAATCCCACCAAAACTGAAGGAAAAGCAGCAACATTTTCAGCAAGCAGGAGAGAACACCTATTACAGAATGATCTTAACAAACCTCCTCTCTTGAGGGAAGCTGAGAGATGCTATTTGTCTCCAGCCCTTACACGTTCAGCCATGAATTCTGTCCATACAATTTCCTGACATGACCAGTTACCTTCATGTGAAGACATTACACACAATCTGGCATTTTGGGCAGGAAGAAGAGGATGGAGATTATTTCTAAGGTGGCACTTACACTTGTCTTACAATGACATTCACGGCCAACTCAGAAGGCCACAGGGCTGACCTGAATAATGGTTTTTGCTTTGCATCAATTTATAGGAGGAATTGTGTTTCAGTGCAGCTGTCACAACATCTTTGTTTCATTAACTCCTTAAGATAGCAAGAACCATAGGAGTGTTTTCATTACACCAAAACTTCCACAGAAGTTTAGGACAGCAGGGAGGGCTGTCCAGAGCTGCTGCCAACTGGCCTGGAGGAACCTTTTTCCTGGGCAGTAAACAATTTCAGACTGATGGCCTGGTTTCACCCAGTGAACCGAGTGCAGCACAAACAGCACTAAGACAAGCAAGCAAACCACATTCCCAGTCTTCTCGTCTCAGTGCAGTAATTACATATTAATAAATGGTATGTGCATAAACCACTCCACCCATCACAGTCTGCCTTCTACCCTGTCTGGCATGGAGATGATACAACCCAGGGCTTTTTATTATTTTTAGGACAGAAAACCTGATGCTAAGCTATCCGAGAGCACTAAGAATGTCCCTCCTTCTCCCCCAGCTCCTGTCTGAAGCACTCCCAGAGCTGTAGCTACAACCAACAGCCTTTTCAACAGCAGGGAAAGTGTCTGCTTGACAAGGCAAGCCCTTCCACCCCAAAACACACATCTATTGAGGGCAGCTCGTGTGCTCACTATGAGTAAACAGCCAGCTCCAGCTGCAGCTCAGTTTGCCAGGAGCTGTGGCAGTTCAGGAAACATGGCTGAGTCACCGACAGAGCCTGCTTCATCATCTGCCCCAACCACCCAGAAACCTGGGGCTGCAAAAGAGGAGAGGAGGCCAAAAAAAAAAATCCCATTAACCTCCAGAAGAATCCTATCCACTGGACAGACGCTTCTGTGCTTAGCCTGCACCTCTACTGTGGGCAGCTCTTTTTTAATTTTCCAAAAACTCAGCTCTTTGGCACCACAGAAGTCTCCAGATGAGCTGATGGGAACAGGCTGCGATGTGGGAAGCGCTCCCCCCAGCCTCACCTTCCCAGCACACCAACACTCACAACAGGGACACCTTAACAGGCCAGTCATCTCCCTCACTTCCTCAGGGTGCTGTGGCCTCCTTTATTTCTTCTCCCGTTCTTTCAGGAGAGGACTTTATCGGGGAAAATGCTGGTACTTGGCCAAAGGTCCAAACAAGTCTCAAACCAAAAGCACAGCTCTGTTCTCAGGCTCCAGCAAGCCAGCAGCTATATTCATTGCAGGGAAAACCTGATGAATTCCAGCTCCAGCTCTCCCTGGCAGAGACTGGATGGATCTGACAGTTGTTTTCCTCCCTGCTCCTCGAAAGAAACCAGCATTTGGGTCTTCCTCCAAGGTTTTCCTTTGCTGTGCTCACTGCCTATTTTTCTCAGCCCTGAAGAAGCCTATTGCTTATCCAAATTTTTAAGCCCACATCCTGCCAAACAGAGCAAAAATACATTGACTGGATGGTTGAGTACAACCCCCACCCAGCCTGAGTATTACCCACGCTGCCACAAGCAGCCCTGCACGCTCCTCAGATGGAAAAGCAGCTTGAATCCAGCTGGGGATGGGCTAGGAAAAGCAGTGAACGCCCAAGCTCCCATCAACAGAAGGCTGGCCAGGAAAGAATGAGTTATTAAAACAGGAGAGCAGATGCTTTCAGATGTTACAGTTTTAACTAAATCTCATTTCATTACCTGTGTCCAGTGTGGACAGCACAGAGAGAAATGCAAAAAGCTAACATGGAAGTTTTCAGTGAAATCTGCATCCGTTAAAGCAGAGGTAGGTCACTTCTCTCACTAGTGGAGAAGACCTGATCCTCTACAACACACTCAGACTCTCAGGATGCAGCAAGCTCTCTGTGAGCAAAATGAGTTGGAACAATGTAAGCAGTTGCTGCCCCCCAGCTGGTGATAACTGACCTGCTAGAGGAAAGAGCTAAGCGTCAGCCAGGTTAGCTTAAAATCCTGGGGAAAGTGATCTCCACTGACCTGGGTAACACTGCATCAATATGAATTAGGGAGCACTCATATGGTACATCCCTGCAACATGGTCTTAAGACACAGGAGGGGGAAAAGGGGCAAACAGGCAATTGCATCTTAAACTGCACCCGCTTTTCCCCAAGTAATAGAACACACCCCTAGAGAAAAGGGGCATGAGCCATCAAAAATTTGGGGCTGCAGCTAATGAATTAACAAGTGAAGAAACAGCACAAAACACTATTTCAGAGCCACCACAAATGGCACGCTTGGAGCAAACACCCAGGTAGCAATCTGCAAAGGAATCCCTCAGCCTGCAGGGCAGCCTGGACATCCCTCTCCTCTTAAGACACAGGAGGGGGAAAAGGGGCAAACAGGCAATTGCATCTTAAACTGCACCCGCTTTTCCCCAAGTAATAGAACACACCCCTAGAGAAAAGGGGCATGAGCCATCAAAAATTTGGGGCTGCAGCTAATGAATTAACAAGTGAAGAAACAGCACAAAACACTATTTCAGAGCCACCACAAATGGCACGCTTGGAGCAAACACCCAGGTAGCAATCTGCAAAGGAATCCCTCAGCCTGCAGGGCAGCCTGGACATCCCTCTCCTTCCCATCCAGCTCCAGAACAAGGCTGGTGTTGACAGGCACGACTGCCAAACCTAAAACTTTTTACCAATTCCTGCTGTAGCACCACTGCTGCTTGTTGGTCACGACTCACATTAAAGACATCAACCTCCCTGCGTGGCCCATGCTCAGCTGCTGTCTATAGCACAGGTAATTCTGCAGCATCCACTCCGCTCATTAGCATGTGCAAAATCTACATCCCCAAGCACCAGTGAGTTAGTAACTTAATTCTGCAAAGCTCTGCAGACCCAAAGGAGCATTAGAGACAGCTCAACCCCCTCCAAATACCAAGCAGTACTCGCTTCATTAATTGATGGAAACTAATCAGTACTTCGCCCCAACTCCTGCAGATCAGTGAGTGTTGAACTCCAATGTTTTATTACTCTTCCCTCAACACAGGAGGGAAAGAACAGTTTACCAGAGCAGATATTTGACTGAGGAAGGCAAATCACAGTATTTGAAACACCAGCAGAATGTTTCCTACAGAGGGAGATTGTGGTTTAAAGGATTCACTGTGCAGGGAGGGAATTAGTATGGGAAAACTCGGCTTTTTTTCACTGGGAAAGGCTGTGGATCTGAATGCAGCTCATCTGGATCAAGACAAACCTTTTTTGCCAGTCCAGAGCTTATTTAAACTTGCTTTTGGGAGCCCTCACTAGGGTATATGAATGCTTTCTTCTAAGAGAGGAGCAACCCATAAAGAGCAGGGTGAGTGCTCCCCTACTGTGAATAGAGATCCTCCTTTTTGCACCCAGTTGGGACAATTTTCTAACTCAAAGCACTTCACAAGGAGATTAATACACCTCACTGCCTGCCCTGCTCACTTTGTCACTCTACTAACACACAGCAGAGAGAACTGACTAACTGGTGCCCTCCGTACAGTCCCACGGTCCACCCCAAAATAAATTTGCTTAAAGCAACGTCACACTCCATGCAGCATCTTTTGTGTGCTTAGTGCAGGAAGCATCAACCAGCAGGAGGTACGTACGGCAGGTGTAAACATCTCTGTACTCCATGTGCTCGTAGTCGGGAAGGATTTTCATAAAACGTCCCGACTTCACTCGCGGGTTTATACCTGAACAGACACAGCAGGGTAAGTACCAGCAAACTCTGCTCCACTGCAACCAGCACGATGTAACAGTACGATGAATCTGCACCAACCACGCAGGAAAAGTCAAACTCCCCTTTGACTTTACTTCCAGTTGTGATGCATTGTTTTTTTCCCATCAGCCCCAGCCTCAGGTATCCTCAGTTAGCAGGATCAATCACTGACACAGAACTTGGCAAGTTCAAGATTCCCCACAGACAATATTTACAAGTAGCATCCACCAGGATCACTCACTGACACAGAACTTGGCACGTTCAAGACCCCCACAGACAATATTTACAAGTAGCATCCAGTGAATTCAATGTGGAATCAGGCTCCTCCTCAAACTCTAGTGTGACTGTGATGAGAACTGCTGTCCCAGTAAGACCACTCAGGCCAAGTAACTACATGGACTGTAGCCCAGGCCTTGGATTAGTTCTATTTTCTAGCACTTAAGCTCAGTTCCCCATTTTCCACACTACTTTATACAGAAGCACATTCAGTGGACAGAAAGGTGCATGTGTGTCCTGCCAGTAGCCCCAAATTAACTCTTCTACAATTAAAGAGATTTATGGGACAGTAGAGAAAACGGGGTCACACTACCAGGAAACTGTTCCATTAAGTGTCTACAACAGGGCTGAATCTGAGCAGGAAGCTGAGATGGTGCATCCCTGAAAGCCAGAGCCAGCTGCCAAGCATCCTGACTTCAGAGTAACCACTGCTAGTCAGGATTGCTGAATGGATACGGACACAGCCCTGATTCAGAAGGGCAATAAAGTCAATTACATTCTCACATGTCAAGTGGGACACTTTGCCAACAGATGCTGTGGATTCAGAAACAACTTTGGTGCAAAAGAAGACTGGAAACATACATGTAAGACAGGTCTATTGAGGGCTAATAAATCAAGAAACTTCGTTAGACTCTGGAAATCCCCCAGCATGAAAACAGTCAGAAGCTGGGAGAGCACTTAGGAAAGTATCACATTGCCTTGCCTTCTTCTTGGTTGTCCCTGGGTGACTGCTCACAGCCATGGCTAGAAGGAAAAGAGTGTTCTGAGCCAGTAAGGCTATTCTTACATAGAACTTGTGTATAAAAAAAGAAAGCACTAAAATATCACTTTAATATATCTGAACCATGGAACAGCAACTTAGTGAAAAAGATTACAGGTCATTACAAGATGTTCAGCCATTTGAGACTGGCAATGCAGAATTAAGATCTGATACGGTACGTGCTGTATGGCTGTTACCACAGCAGCATCATGCAGAGACACCAGATTGAATGGGAAGTAAGGGAGGCCTCAAGTGCTAATGAGACTTCTCTGTGGACATCTAAGTGCTGGCTCAGCATCACTCAGCCCTCCCACTCAGGAAAATTAGGCAGTTTCATTCCTAGTGCACAAATAGATAAGGAGGAACACTAAGCGATGAAATACTTTTCCTGTGGATGCTCAGCAATTCTATTAAAGATGGGATTAAAACCCTTCTACCTGTTCTTCTTTCCAGCATTGAGATCAATGCCTGAGGTCATCACTGCTTCAAGGTTCAGCAAATACAGTACATGTAGAAGCTGAGCCAGATTTTGGGTCTGCAAAGCCTACAGAGACCTCTCATGATTGACTTCTCTGCTTCTGTTTCATAAAACATGACCATGTTTGAACGGCCAGAAGCCATAGTTCAAGTGCTGCGGGTTAAATCTTGGGTTTTTGTCCTAAGGTCCCTCAGAACATCTTGGGTTTTTGTCCTAAGGTCCCTCAGAAAATTTGTGGTGAGGAACTGAGACAACACAGCCTGGCAGTGCTGGTATGAGAGCTCCTAGGGGCTTTGCAAGGCTCCATTTAGTCATTAGTCTACCTCGGTTTCTCTCATCCCATAGTGTCCCCAGCCCTCCCTACTGTGAAACAGAAGATGTGCATCTATCTTGCAGAAGGAACAGAGGGTCTAAGAAGTTGGGGTCCCACTCTCACAGACATTCCCAAAAAGCCCTGCCAGGCTCTCCTCCTCCAGGAGCAGCCCAGAAGGCAGCTCATCCCTTTACTTGCAGCACTTTCCCAGTGTCAGCGTGTAACAGCATCCTTCCACTGAGACAGAGACTTGGCTGCATTAGGGTTATGCAAAACTATCAGCCAATTCCTTAGCAAGACCCAAAAACAGCAAAACAGGAAAGGATGGAAACCCCTCACTACACTTTATTATAATGTTAAATTGCATGCTCTTTCCCCACCATAGGATTGGGGAGCATAGACACCACAATTACTGCATCTGCTTAGTATTAAATAAAACTCCAAACATGTCAACTTCACAGATGTAACCCCTGCCATTAGCAAGTAAGTCTGAATAACTTATGCTGTCAAAGTTTAATAAATATTCAACACGTATATGCTTTCAAAATCGGTACTAAGCACAGACATACAGATCTGTATGAGCTTTATCACTTACGTTTGGCATAAACATCTCGACAGGACACTCCTGTGATCTCCAGTTTCCGCAAGTTCTCACAGACGCCGTATTCTGCAATGACACAGACAATAACATCAACTCCAGCACAAAGGTGTTTGCTACCCAGGATCTTGCTATCTACTGTTTGAGCAAAAACGAGATCTTATTAGGTGCATGCTTGCAAGCTGCCACGTTATTCCAAGAATCTTATTTCTGCTTTGAAGAGAAAACAGAAAACTAGATGCAATTTCATTGCAGTTTGGGAATCTATCACACTTCACAATCAATGCCTGCAACAAACACACCATAAGGAACACACAAACACAGCAAAGTTACAGATGCTTACTCCTAGCCCAGAAAGAATGTGAAATGTGGAAGACGTACTCATTCCAGCTGGGATTGTATGCCCATTTAGATCAAATCATGATTGTGTGTAGTAATTATCTACTCCCACTGAGGTATCCAGCAGGGAAAACTGCTTATTAGGATCCTAAAGAAAAGGTCACAGACTTTAAAAAGAATGAAATGGAGACATAAAACAGGCATCAGCATGTACAAATATGGTTACACTTGAAAGCAGATCAGATTGAGATGGGTCTGTTGTACACTCAAACGCCTTTGATTGCTTACAGAACACCCTGAAAACAAAGCAATCCAGAGATCTTAGAGGCTGCTTTGAAGCGGAAAATGAGATTCTCTCCTTTCATTTTCAGGAAGTCAACACTGAACTTCTAAGAAACTTAAAAAAAATTAGAAAATAATAAAAAGCCTAAAATAAAAGAACTAACATCCCAATGCAAGAAATCTTTAGAAGACCAGAGGGAGGAAATGAGAGGAGGGAGATCCCAAAAAAAAAATCATCAACAACAAAACCCACCGTGCTGCAGTGACCTCGACAGATCTCAGTATGGAAAACTACCCTCCTCGACATCAAAGACATCAATACCACAGATCAAACATCAGCTTTCCTTAGTAATACCAAACATCTGCCAGATATCTGACGCAAAGGTGTATCTGTGAAGACCCTCATCAGATCATTAAATATGAAACTTATCCTTGGTCAAGCTTCCTTGAATTAACAATTTACCGCAGCTGCCAAATACCACCACCTAATGCTGGTAACCTGCTGCAAACTGAGAATTCACTTTTCATATACGAGAAAAGCAGAAGTTTCCCTGAATGAATCCAACCTCCTCCTGTCTATAAATACACTTGTGGTCCATGTACACGCTGATAAAGCACGCACAAAGCTTACTGTCAGCCCTCCTCCGGGGAATACACGTTCTGCACAACATCGCTTCGGGTAAGCAGCAAGTTCAGTCAAGGTAAGACTGGGCAGAAGGTACAACAAACACATTGCCCTTCATTAAAAGATGCAGAGGTCGGTGGTAAAATTCCTGCTGACTTCCGCAGCAAAAGCCAGAGGAAGCTCTAAGTGTTATCAAACACAAGGTGGGATGAGAAAGCACAATTATCCAGAGAGCAGACAGACGAGCTCGCAGGAAAGTACATCCAGCCCAGCACAAACAAGCTATTTAGTGCTGGGCTCCAGCCAGCTGACCCGGCCTGCAGATCTGTGAAACCAGAGCTCTGCCAGAGGCTGGAAATTCAGACCCATCCTGCAGGTCACCTCGTGTCCATCCCTCCTGCCAGAGCTATCAGGGCTTTCAACCACCGGGCTGCATATGTACACAAGTGTGTTTGGTAATTACATCAAAGGGATGGAGGGAACAGTATGTTTCCTCAGCTGATCAGAAAGTTAGAGATCTTCACAAGATGAGAGAAACAGAGTGGTGATAGTCTGGTGATAGCCTGCTGTTTGACAACAGCCAACTCCTTCCACGTAAACAAATACTCACCTGGCCACAGAATGGGTAAGATGCAGACTTCACACAGCAGGCATTGCAGCCAGATTAAATTTGGTGTCATTGAAGGTATTTATACTGCATCAGAAAGGGAGGAGACATGCAGAGGGTCCTGCCCAAATGGCATTTCTCCGTGTTGCTCTCTAACAGCAGTACTAACACAGTGACGTTCTCTTTTTCTCCAGAAGGTGCTGATTTTTCACAAAGCCTTTTCCCTAGTAAGGCTGGAAATCATTCTGAGCGCAGTCTCAGTGCGGTGCCGTGAGGGGGCCACTACCAGCGGGTGTCTTGAAACAACAGGGTGGGGTGGGAGGTGACTGGATGTTAAAGCTCCATCCCAAATTCATGCAAGTGCCCTTCATCACCTGCAGTGAAATTTTACAAAAGCCAAAACCACTATTAAAGGTGCATTTCCTAAGTTTTGAAGTTCAAATCTTTCCTGGAAAGATTCAGTTCTCCCAAATAATGGCAAGCTCCTTAAAAAAAAACAAACAAACAAACAAAAATTTAGAATTTTTATATTGCTACAGACTATTTGACATTAGACACTCAAGGCTTATAAGAAAGTATTACCAAGAAAGAAAATAATCTTATTTTAGTATGCTTTAACACTCATCTTGTTTTATGATAACTAGCCCTTACCCTGTTTTGTTCAGCGAACAACTACAAAGAGTCAAACTCACAGAGTAAGTACATCACTTAAACTCTTCTAACCCTTAAGCTGTTAACACCATGATAGCTGCTTGATGGGAAAAATCAGTCTCTTAGAAGTGCCTACAAAAACTGGCCACTTCTTTTTAATCCAGAAGACAAGAGGGACATGAAATCAACAGTACGTAGAGCTTTAAGATAGTTATGGAAAAATAGAACTAATAAGGTTTTCTTTACATAGTATATAAAGCCTTTTCCAAGAAAGATTTGAAGAGCTCGAGCTTGCTGGGAAATTCAACTTCAGTGCAATTAAGTCTATTTTAAGGAAACATATCTCAGTGCAACAGCTCACCGAGCAAAGCATTTTAAGGATTTGATAGTCACAGAAATTCACACACAAAATTTATACCGTTAGAAAATGGCTACTTAATCCTGCTTCAAAAGCAAGGATGGAAATTGGTTTTAAAGTTCTTACTTGACCAGCTGGCAAACCTGTTTTATTAGGTTTATAAGGAGTGCTTGAAAGATTTACTGAACACAGAGTGACACAGTGCTGTTTCCATGGTCACATGCACTGGAATTTAAAGGACTTGGAAAAAGCAGTCTCCGCTTGTTATGAACTGCACTAATAGTTTTCCAAGTGCAATTTACTCCCTGGCTTGCTCTTACCATATGCTCTCCTAAGCCTCATGGTCCTTTGTACAAGAAGCCATGTCACACACCTCCCTCTGTGCAGCCCACATGATTTTAAAAAACAAAACAAACAAAGGTCTTCAAATTTAGGTAGGGAAGAGACCAAATTACTGTTGGTTTTTATTTTCTTTTCCCTCTCTCAGCACAGTGATGCCAGAAAGCAGCTGCAAGTGCTGTACATCCGCAATTCAGAGGAAATTAGGATGTCTGGTGGAGCTTAACACCCTTACCATCACTAAGTTTCCGTTGTGTCCTGACTAATCAGGTTTTCTAATTATTCCTGGATAAACGCGTGTTTACAAGGCTGCACACAGCACAGAACGCATCGAAATTGACTGGATTGTTTCAGGGACCACAAAAATGGGAGACTCACAGGCTGGCATCTCCAAAATATCAGGTGGACGTATTTGGAACTGACTTCTCGTCTCCAAAGGCTGAACTATCAGATTAAAATACACCAAATACTTTCTTAAACATTTTCCCCAGGGGAAGGCTTGTAGTTACCTCTGGGATATTAAGGAGCTGAGCAAAAGGAGATTTGATCTGCAACAAATGGAAGCATTTGTGGAAACCCTAAAGCAAAAGCAGGGTAGCTTCAGATCTAAGTTTACCAACAGATCTAAGGAAGACCCTCTGAAGGATGGCTGTGGCTAGTGAGCACCTGCCATTAAGCATGAGGAACAGCAAAACATTGCCAAGTTGTAGTCTAAAAGCCAAAGAACAAGATCAGAGATGAAGAAAAGCCCATGATGGTTCACCTGAGAAACACACTGTACAATTCTTTAACCTCACACAGATTAGAGCATCCTGACTCTCTAAAACCCCCTTCATGTTTACCAGGGTGCAGCAGTACAAGAAATTGTTCCCACTCTGGGAGCAGTTGTACATCAAACTCCTGCGTGGATTCTCCTGAGTCTTGTAAGAGCTGAACTCCACACAACAGTCCCCTCACTGAGTGTATAAATCAAATTTCCCACTCTTCTCCACAAGCTCCACTTTCTATGAAACTTGCTGAAGGTCAACATCTTTAATACTTTGGCTGACATTTTTCAGCATGTCCAAAAGCTGTTAGAGGTTGTTTTCACAAACAAAAGCCATTTCATGCAAGTTGTAGATCTTGTTGTTCTAAATTACTGGTCAGTTTCCAGGTGTTCCACTGCACTTGCACTGATTTGTTTTACAACGAAAGCAGTTACCATTTAAAATGGTGTTAATCAAGGTAGGTCAGGCCACCAGCCAGGGTGAAACAGGCTTTAATTCTTCTCCCACTGCAGAGATCAGCCATCTCCTATTTATAGAAAACATGAAAGTGACTGCAATCCTCCTCTTGCCAAAGAAGCAATTCAGAGACATTGTTTACCCCAAACAGTTGCAATGATAAAAGGACAACAGCCCAAACAGCCATGCCAGTGTTACACAACTGCTTCTGGTTAATCCCAGCACCCTATCACTATCACCAGCAAAAACCACTCTGCTTTCAGGACAGGCTCTCTGGATGCTTGCACTAATCACAACATGTTCTCAAGACTAATCTGCAGCTGGGTTGACCCAAAGGAGTGCAAGGGCAAGATATCAACGCTCAAGGGATGGAGGGCCCCATCTACCTTGGGCAACAGCTGGGCTTTTGCTGACATTCTGCTCTGCTCCTGCCTGGAGGTATCTTCAAAGAGCTCAGCTCTGGACCATCACCAGTGGGCTTCAGAGTGAATAAGCCACCAGTACAAGGAGTATGCTCGGAGAGACACACACGCTCTCGTTTTGCTTCTAGGACATGCAGCTTCACAACAAGACTCAGGCAGATACAAGCACACACTTAAGAACCATCCTCAGTTGGGAAGTGGCTTGTTTTTGAGAAAGACTACAAAAAGGAATTACATTTTATGTTTGACTATTACACAGTCAGTAATGTATGGCTATAAATGAAATACAGCACAGGATATTTTAAATTTTATAGGTGTATTTATATGCTAATGCTTGATGTCCAAATCTGTGCTCAAGTTGTTGCTCTCATCACACACACAGCTGCACACTCACATTTGAAGACACATCAGTAGCTGAGCATGTGCAACACATCATTGTCATACGGGCAGAGAAATTTACTGCAAAGTAGCACCAATTTTATACTCACGTGTACAAATACTCAAAGTTACAGTAGAACCACCACAGCAATTACTTACACTGCTGTGTAGAGCCATGCAAAGCACTATGAGCACTGCAAGAAGTCCAGATTAGCAACCTCCTGGAGAACCTCGACTGGTTAAAAAACTGCAGTCAGAGTTTCATAGATGTAGTAAGTTTTTCAGCCCGGAACCTGACCCTTATCTGTTCAGCACAGCTCGTGCACCATGCCTTTGGTACGAGATCTACCTCAATCACACCAGCAGTCTACCAAGTGGTTGGAAAGGATACATCAGGGAAACATAAGAAACAGCGTGTGAAAAGAGAATAAAAATTTGTTTTATGGCTAACTAAGGGCCTTGAGACAAAAGTGTAGTCTTAATATATTCTTTCCCTCCCTGTAAGGTTTAGTTTTAGCCATACTAAGCCCAGTGTTTCTTTAAATTTCAGCTAAGCTTTTGCACACTGATTTATCTACTGGCAAGAAAATCCCAAAAGCAGTCATGAATGTAATAAATAAATTTATTTCCCCATCAGGCCTACTTTAGTGGTTCCATTACAATACAATCCAGCCTACATTGAAGAGTTATATATGTTTCTATATATACATTTTGTGAGGATCATAGCCTACCAAAACAGTTAAACAGTGACATTTTGCAAATCACTCATGAAATACAGAAACATCGACGAGGACTCTATGTCAGTAGAAGAGTATAAGGAAAGAACAAATACCATTTTATTAGCCTGTGTCCAAAAAACAATGTTAAGCTATTGGGACAATGGGATAATTCCATGCTGAACTAACAAGTAAGAATGCTTTGGTATCCATGTTCTAGGTACATCCTCTGTACTGTCCAAGGGTTCTTGGATAGTGCTGATAAGGCATGAAATCATTCCTGCAAGGTTTAATGCATTTGAACAGACCCCACAGCCCATGGCTGGCAGCCACTCCAACATACCTAAATTCTTCATCCTGATGCCCCCACTGGTATTAAAAACGGAAAACAAACAACAACAACAAAATATACATGACTTCATGTGTTGGCAGCAGATGCACCTGGCCAGATCACACCATTTAGAGAGATGATGAGCACAGCAAGACAGACCTTGGAGGGTGGGAGAGTCACTGGATTAACAAACAGGGGACAAAGACACACTGAGGTGATGCAAAAGACAAGAAGAGTAGGAATTGCAGCCTAACAGAACAGGAGCAGAGCAACACAAAACTGAGGCGCTACTGAGAAAAAAATGCCCCCGAGCCTTTGCATTAATGCAGCACAGCATCCCTGCAACAGACAGTCCCCAGGAAATGAACATGCAAACCAGAAACCCCTCCAAACCTGCCCTGATCTTCCTAAAATGAGACAGGAATGGATGACCTTACTCAGGCCTGCCCTCCTCCTCCCAGCTCCCACTCATCCTGCTGTGCCTCCGTGGCCCCAGGACCCCCAGTTACCCACCCAAGGATTCCTTTCTTCCCCAGTCCAGCCCCGTTCTGCTCATTCCCTTTCCTTACTGCCTGAAATACCCCATCCTCAGGACTCACCCAAGGACACCCTACCCGGAGACATCACCTGCCAAGGCCTGGGCACAGCCCCATTCCTCCCCTCCAGCTGCCACCCCGGGGAACAACCCCAGCTTGATGCTTTTCGCTCGAGCTGCTCACACCTTCTGCAGCAAGTGCCACCAGGGACCGTGCCCCAGAGGGCCCAAAATGTGCCCTCTTCTCCACCCTCCACACATGGAGCCCTGCATACACCCCTCATTGCCCCACAACCCGCACCCCCCCGAACCCCCAGACCCCATAAACCACCTCCTTTCTGCACCCCTTTAGGAACCCCCACTCCAAACCCCACCATCTCCGGGTCCTCTTGCACGCTCCGAGCCCCTGACCTTGCATCCCCAGCCCCATC